TTACGCGTTTCTCATACGACGATCGAAAGAAAAATCTAATCGAATTCTGTCCGCGAAATTCTCAAGAGTCGCTCTTATCCTTGTATAACGGATAATCGTTCGAGTACGTCTCTTCATTCATGAAAGGGAAATCTTTTCATTCACGGAGAATGGCATCGTTGACTCCTATCAGGCCACTTCCTTTTGTTCCTACGCTGTATGCCGTGACTTATCGTTCGAAACGCGCACACCCTGTGTATGTAAACGTTGACGGAGGTTGGAACGGGAAGAGAAATAGCCCGAAACAGTATGATATAACCAGTTAAGGGGCCATTGGGCCAACATTCAACGCGTGCTTCACGAGGCAATAACTACTCGTTGTTACGCGCGTCTTGCATCCACTTTATCGCTTCGTTCACCCTTTACTAACTCTGCCCTTTTTTTTTTTATTTTACGTTTGCTCGAATCATCGCTTGACTCGTACCGCGAAACGTTTCATTAACTTGCTTGTAAAATTCAAACGATCGTTTAATTACTATCGATCATTGTCAATACCGTGATTCTCAGTGTTCCCAATTTATGGTTCGCGAGTTCAAAGGGAATCGTAAAATGATTTTCGGGAAGATTATAATTAAGTTTTTATTTTCAATCATTCATATAAAATCATTATTTTGTTAAATTATGGATCATATATACGATTCTTTACCTTTACCTCTATTTCGGGTCGTAATGAAAAATAATTTGTCAAAGCTTTCTCAATATTTTCCTAAAAGATATTCGATTATAATGAAATCGAGATGAACTTGAAACTTTGGAAAGTTTTCAAAGGATTCTAGGAATAATAACGCACAACACGAGACGAAAGTTCTTTCGAGTGATCCAACGCGTGATGCTGAAGAGAAACGATCTTGAAATTCCAACGACTTCTAATAACCTTAGAAATCTGAGAATGATCAGATTTACGTGGTTAGTTGCCGATATGAAAACGTAATACGATAATATAATACGATAAATACGAAATGTAATACACAACCGGTAGCTGTTAGTACTGGGAATTCGCGGTAAATTGCGAAGCGAGTCGAGATGGGGCGGAATTGCACAGCGCGTGTTCCATCGTGGACGACCAACACGCGTGTTATTCTTCGAATGAATCTCGGCAAGTAATAAAATGACTCGAGGGCATGGCGGCCGATCAAGCAAGCGGCCGTGCTGATTACTTAGCACGGCCTGTTGTTCACGTTGACATCCGTAATCGGGAACTCGCGCGGTGGTCGACGCGAAATAATAAACGGAAAAGCGCATTCGATCGATCCATTAGTCTAACCGTGGAACTATTATTACTCGTTCATTTTCTTAGTGGAATTACTCGGAAGTGTGTCCGGGACACATTCATTTTTGATGGAACGTGTTGCCAATTTTGAAATTATGTATAAAAGTAATGATATAATTGTTCAGGTTTAATGTGTCTATATGTAGAGCATAAAATATTGCTATAAGATCAATAATGGGAAATAATATCGGTCATTTTCCAACGATTCAACCTTCTTCCACGATTTCTTCTATGATTCGGATAATTGGATTGTGCAAGATTTTTCAATTGATCGACGGATCGATCGACCCGACTCGAGAGTTTAATTTCATTTAGAGGCATCGTTCCACCGAACCGTCGAGAATAGAACACTCGTAATAAATTCCTTCAAGGTTTAGAACATTGTACGGATCGCGAAACAACGTCGCATAAATTAATTAATACGATTTTATTACCGTCGCGATCGTACACTCTTATACGCGTTAATGCGAACGAATTCGTTCGAATGAAAATAACATATTACGAACGAACGAACGAACGAGAAATGGAGACGCTCCATTGACGATCTCTTGTCATTTCCATAATTGGCTTATTCTTGTTAGTTTTCGGCATGTCTCGAGAGATACGGAGGACGCGTCTCCGGATATTAATGGATTTCGCATAAAAGAGCAATTATATCGGTTGTATTTCGAGCGTGTGCTGGATATTAAAAGGAGGCAGCGATAAAAAAAATATCGTCAAGAACGTTTCTTGAATCGTCATTGAACGCGTATTTACTTTGAGTTCGTAGGCAGCCACGCTGCATCCGGTCCGAAATTATTTAAAGCCGATTCTGCGCAAGTATCGAACCGATGCTGTTTGTCGAAATTAATGAATTATACGCGGTATATTTTAATAAATACATATTTAACGTGGGCAAACAGAACGAGCGCACACGATGATCGCCAACCGTACGTGTTTCGCTCGGATCTTTCGTACTCGATTGGAAGATAATTAAGCCTTGTTCGTTCGATTTGCGCGATGAAACGTTGACCGGTATGGCGGATATCCAGTTTAGGATAATATATTTTACCGGAGCTGCGCGAACGATTCGCTGGCGCCAAACTAATGTCCCGTGCTCATCGCGAGAAAGCGAGTTCTCCTTCTCGTGGCGAACGGATTTGTAGGAAGTGGTCGGACAGAACGTTTGCGCATACCTCCTCGACCAGATGATTCACCGGTTTACGGTTGAAAAAAAGGAAACGCTTGGAAGAGACGTTTCACGATTTTATTCACCGATTACGCGAATTCCTTCGCGCGTTTTTATCGCGTGTCAAAGTTACAGCTATTGAGATACGCGGTTTCGCGAATTCATTGTTGGCAATAAACGACAAGCCTTGGATATTTTTTTTTTTTTAATAAGATGTAGGAGATATTTAATATCTCGATATCGCATACTGATTGCATCAGCTTTGAACAGGTGCAAATTATTCTATCGGTTTTACATAATAGGGTTATAACAAGTGTATAAACGTTTTCATTTATTTTTTTATACGTCTACGCGTTGTACATTCTATTTCTATGAATTTACCCATCTACTTCTTAACTGACTAATGACTTCTGCTAAGAATTGTTGACCATTAGATTCGATGAAGTTCGCAAGTGTTCGGTCGTTTAAAAAATTCAAGCTAGATAAACATGTACGTACATACATCTTCGCGCTTGAATCGTTGAAAAAGGCCACGGTACTTTACATATTATCGAAATATATAATGTTAAGTTTTAACGTAAGCATTATAAAAAAAAAAATGATGCTATTTATGAATTACACTGAGAAGAGACAAAACTTTTTCACTCATCTAACGCTTTCGTCCGTACTGATAAGAAACGCCTGTTTAAGAATCACGCGAGTCAAAAGAAACGCGAAGATCCATAGATCGTCGGCCAAAGTGAGGAGACTGGTAACCCAGAAGATTTTCTCAGAAGAACGTTTTTTTGCCGACTTGTTGATTTCAATAGCACACTAGAGAAAAGATTTTCTTTTTTTTCTTTTTTTTCCCCGCGACACCGTTCTACTATGCAGACTCGATTTGTCGCGGCACTTAGTCTCGCGATGCGCTTGGTCGATCGGCGAAATTCGCGACGCGTGAATGCGAGACCTAAAAATGGAAAGCGGAAACAAGGAGGAGAGCAGAATCGTGCGTGGCTTCAGGGCGTCACGCTGTCCACGAATGCAATATCCGCGGCAGCACGCCCGTTGCACCGTTACATCGATATCCGAAGAAAAACCGCTAACGCAATCTCAGGCTAAATTTTACGAGTGTTCGTTCAAACTATGCTCGCGGTTCGTTGAACCGGCGATAGAGAAACTGTCAGAATAGTGTCAGTTATTTCGAGACGTTTGTTTCGCGTATGTATCTACCCTCTTCTTATCGTTACCTCATCGCATCGAGGACTTTCATATTCGACAAAAGCGAGAAATCATTGTCGATGAATTATGCTTATAATTCTTGAGAGGAAGAATTTTACATTTCTTTTCTTTTACGTCGGTATGCATCGTTTGTTAGAAGCGTTTTGCACGTAAGTGCGAATAATTAAGCCTAAAAGGATGCACTATCGAAGTGCAAGAATCAAGTGCTAAGAGCATCCCTTAGAAATCTTTCTTTTCGAAATCTACTATCGTACTACGTTCGATCTTCCATTATATCTGCAGGATTTCGACGTCGCACGTACTCGTAAAACGACGCGATAAATGCAGTAGGATTTTAAATCATCCCGGTATCATAGAATCTATCAAAGTAGACAAAATGTAAGATGTTGTAGCAAGAAGAGAGCAGATTCGTTGTTCCAAAGAAATTAAAAAATATATAATCTATCGATTTATTGTTGTTTCGTTGAATGAAAAAAAATTTTTTTTATATTCAAAACCGGATCTGCATTCTTATTACATAAAATAGACAAAGGTAAAAATACATTAATATCACGTAACGTAAAATTACATAGTATCACGTTGCACGTGATAACACGTGACATCACGATTAGGAAGCATATATTTTTATCTCGTTAAAATAGCATCAACTTATTATTAACGTAATAGAAACAATTACAACAGAATGCGAAATCTCGAGCAGAAATTCCTTGAATCGAGAGGAAAACGGTATGAGAAAAACTTGCAGCATTTTTCACTCTTTTTCATTTTTATTCCAAAAAACAATCGGAAATTTTTATTTCTTTTGCATCCGATTCTCATTTATCAATATTTCAGAAATTGTGGAAAAAGGAATTCTATTGCCTTCTATCCGCTTCGAGGTACCCAATTCTCAATTCACGGCCGAGATTGAAATTTCTTTTGGATACATAACGGATAATGTTTCACAAATTATCAAAAATATCTGCTTCGAGATCCTGGTCGATATTCTTACGCGACTAAAAGTGTCCCGAAAAAGGAGAGCAGCCGTGACACAGGGGACTCTTCTTCTTTTTCGATCCGTTTCTCGGGGATGCGGCTCTCCGTGTACCGGCTGGTGCATGTGACGGGCCTTGCATCGTGCGTGAACACGTGCGTGGTGGCGCGTGTGCGTGCACACAGGCGCCGAGGGATGCGTCGACGGACCTCCGCCTCCTTCCTCCTCGGATCCACCACCACCCTACGGACCTATATATTTCCCGGAGGGTCTCCCACTTTCGCCACTATCATTCCTGTCGCGGCTGCGCCAACCCGTGAGCGCGCAAACGTGAGTCCGCTCTCGGCTTTCCTCCTCGGAGTTTCCGCGCTTGATGATCGCGCGCGCCAACACCGATTCTCTCTCCTCACGTTTTCTCTCCACGATTTTCCACGAACGGAGGAAACGCGTCGTGCGGTGCATTCGTGTCGAGGTTAGTTAGTGTGCGGTTTCCAAGGAAATTGGTTTCACGGACGAATCGATCGATCGTGAACGCGGGAATCGGTCCACCCGTGTCGTTCCAATTAATTCTCTCGATATTTTGTTTTTATCGGGTGTACAAGGAGAGAAAAAGAAAGAGAGAAAGAGAGAGAGAGAGTATCGATCGCGATCGAGATTTTTTTTCTTTTCTTTTTGTTTTCTTTTACCCGCGGGCGGCTCGTGTTTCTTGGGAAATGTGTGCCACGTGTAGTGAGCCCGCGAGTTCACCTGCTACTCCTACCGAATGGGATTAGATGAAGTGCACGACGGTATGTCGAAGTGTTTGTTCAAATTTTTTTTTTTTTTTTTAATTCTCTCGTGATTGTTTATGGGGACTTTATCGTGTGGAAACTTGAACGTATTTCGCGTCAATTATTATGACATAAAATCGCGGAATCGACGATTATCGTGAATGAAGTTGTTTTTCGATACCTCGAAACTTTATTTACGACGAAGTCTCGAAAAAAAATATTTTATTCTCTTGCCAGAAATCGTGAGATTAAATCGTACGAAAGTTTTTGATAAGAAAATGACGAGAAGAAAAAATTACTTCGTCGAAACGAACGCGTCGATGAATTTACCATGTATTTACGATATTAATTTTTTTTAGTTGTTCATCGTAGAATTGCCGCGTTTCAATTGCCGGGACAAGAACGCGAGACGAGGCGCATTTTTCACAGCTGTTCATACAGCGAAACGCGTACGCTATCGTACATAAGAAATCGTGAATAAAGATGCTTCCTTATACAACCGCGTTCGCCAACTAGTGACTCGATATATCGTCTTGTAAATTACCTTTCCGCGACTTTTATCTTCGTATTCTCGTAACTCGATTTTTCTTTTTTTTTTTTTTTAGTTTTCGAATAACTTCGAACGATCTCTCGGTCGTTTTCTGCATAAAAACGAATACACATACACAGTTAGAAAATATATCAGCCTATTTCTTTTCTAACTTTGTGACGCGTTACTCCACATACATAATTCATCGTTCTTTTTGTAAACGTTTTCACCGATTCGAAATAATATTTTTTTTTTTCCACAAAACAAGGAAAGTCATCGACTATGCGGATCTCGTGTTTTCTCGTTCGCGCGATCATTCGCGATTCCACGACCGTTTTCATCGATCGTTTTCGACGTGGGTATCGAGACCTGGAAGTAAAGAAAACACGGGTGTGAGATAGAATTATTGAACGCTTTATCGAGCGCGCGGCAAGAGTTCATTACACAATGAGAGAGAAGGTAAAAGACCGCGGAGTCTCTAGGACTTAAGGCGATCAACCGGTCGGTCTAAAGGCGTCCCTCGAGTTTCCACGCGGGGTACACACGGTGATTTGTTGCGTGGCGTTTTTCTTACGCTCTATATCATTCAGCCGGTAATGAGGTTTGCCTTTAACGTATTCGCGACGTTTCTCATGCGCAGGATGGCCTGAGCCTCGGAGCAAATCTTCATGGATCGTTCACGAAAATCGAGAAATGATCGGTCGCCGCGGTGTCCCGCAGAAGTTCCGCGGCGCCAAAGATGCGCGCCACGACGCGCCAACATCGCTGTCAAGAATTTCGGGTAAGTGTGAAAAAACGTGGCGGTATTTTTGTACAAAAATTTCAATCGTTGTTTACATTCCAATAGAAAAACACGCGGGTTGGATCTTCGAAGCGAAGCGTCGAACTCTCTCGATCGTGTGTCGAAAGATACGCGAGAATGTGTTGTTTGACAAGTTGACGTATTAGATTTCTGAAATATTAGCTTAGATTTTCTCACCGATCAACGATCGTCGATCGTCACCCGTGAAAAATATATATATTCATTGTTTAAAGAACAGTTTCTGGCTCGCGTCTAATGTTATTTAACGGGCAACTGCAAATGACCGCTCGTCGAAACGCGCAAGTGCTTGGGGCGGTATCGAGGGCCTTCGAGGTTTTGTTTAAAAATTTTACGCGATATCGCTTCGGAAACGTGAAACCGTAAAATATTCCGGATCGAACTCGAGCCGAAGAATTTCACTCCCATACCGGGGGGACACGGAGCATTATTGTGACCCGATGAAATACGTAATCGAAGTGCTCGATGTCGCGATTAGAAATGGATCGTTGCGACAGCTAAACGATTCCGGTTATCAGCCTTTTCTATACATATATTTTAAAAACTGTCGTCCGGGTATAATATTTATGCCCCATATCCAAGCTTCGTATTTCCGTTTCACAACCGATCTTGATTAATATTTATTTCTCAATCTCTGGTGTCTCGACTAATAGAAGAGAGAAAATACGAACGTCGTTCACGATCGACGATATTTTAAAGGAGGAAAATATATAAAGAGTATTGGCGCAAGTTTTCTCGAGGGCTTCTTTAATAATCCAGAGATCGGTTAAATCGTTTAACCTGGAACGCGATACTCGAACGAGCGCGCGAGCAAATAGCATCGAACGCGACGCGAAATTTGTACGCGATTTGTATCGAGAATCTCGTGACCGCGAGCGTGTGCGGTTTACTGAAGGAAAATGAAAAAAAAAAAAAAAAGAAGAAAAAAGAAATATGTGGAATTAAAAAAAAAAAAGAACGGAGAACAGTCGAAACACGATCGCCTCCTCGATAAGTCGTCTCTCTTCCTCGTGCCGTACCGTAGGTATATATCGGCAGTTTATTTTAATACAGACACCTCGTAATAATTCTCAATATACATCGTACCGAATGAACGGACATCAATCGTTGCCCTCGTTACTTTCGATGCTTCGGGCAGAGGGTCCCTTGTTATCCGCGCAGTCTTCTTTGTACGGCATGCATGCCAATGTCCGCGCATAATTACCGGTTTCGATTACTGATCGGCCATGGCAAGTGGTTGAATTTTCCGCCTGCGTTGGGAAACTTTTACTTCATCGTAACTTTATACGCTTAATTTCTACGGGGATCTTTATTTTTATATCCGTCTCTTTTACTTTTCGATCTTTTCCATCGATTATTCTCGATATACTTTTATTTTTTATTTTTTTAATCACTCTTATAACGTTACGGTTAGTATGGTACAATATTCGCTCGTATTCGTTCAATTGTATTAAAATATTTCACGTGTTGATGATTAAGCGGACGTATAAACTCGAATAACGCGATTTCTGAGCGACCGTGGCACGGAATTCCCAGATGTAGATTCTCAAAGCACCGACCGACGTCTGGCAGCGCGCGTAGTCATCACTGAAAAGCGTGAAAGTAACTCATGTATCACTCTCTGTGACACTAATCCCCTGGGTCGTGGGGTGGATTGGTCCCGAAAAAGGGCCAAGGAGGATGGGAAAAAAGCGAGAAGGAAGAAGCAGCGATGCGGACAATAAGCAATCTGTAACGTGTAGGGTAATTATATTGAGTCTAGACGTACGCGTGCGATTATACGCGTCCCTTCCGCGCGTCACATGCGGTATACATTACGTATGGTATGTAGTCGAGTTTGCCAGGGTCTCGCGTGTGTATGCATCTGTCTGTGATAATACGCGGTGACTGAAAAATACGACTCGTCCGACTTGTCGGTCGAGAAAGTTTTTGCTCGCCTTGAAAACTTTTCGTCGCGACGTCCTACTCGTCGATAATTATGCTCGTCTTTCTTTTTTTTCACTCCCCTCTCCGAATCATTCACTTCGATCCTGACGATTTTCGCAGACATCGACGACAGCCACCTGCTTTTTTCCCTGTTCAACCCTTTCACTTAACAATTGCGACCACTTTCTTTTGAATTACCGTTTCGAACTCGACAAATTGTTCTTCGTTAAATATCTCGATAATTTACGATCGAATAACGGAGGAATGTTTATAACATGGCCGTGGTATAAAGATTCGTAAAACTTCACCTTCAATTCTTCGGATAATTTCCTTCTCCAGTTATGAAACTTCTTTCTTCGGAGTCTAACTTAACGATCGTGAATCCTTTGAATTTACGTAGCGCATAATATTGGCGAGAGCTCGCGAATGTGTGTCATTATACGACCCCTATGGGCACATAAAACTTGCACCCATGGAGCTTTTTATATCTGGACACGAGCCCATTAAGCGAACCAGAAAGGCCATCAACCGATCTCCGAGGTGCGAACCGCGAAGTCGACTGGAATATCGATTATTTACGTGACGAAGGTTGGGGAGCAGGGATCTTGGTCGGAAAAATAGGGGATCGCGCGCGAAGAAACTGTGGAATGAATGGACAAACAAATAAAAATGCATTAGTCGGCGAGTGTGTTAAGAATATGAAGGACAGTTGGCGTTCAGCCCGCGATCCATCTACCTCCCACTTTGATCTTCACCGCGACAACGCAAAGTTACGTTACGATGCCGTAGGCTGTCGGGAAAAATGCATTTCTACGCGTTCTACGTGGCCCTGCCCTCTTCCTTCCTGTTCCCTTATCCCTCTGTCCCTTCGAGCAACGTATACACGAACGTACGCGCCCCCTACGTCCCTGCCACGCCGTTGCTTCGAGTACTCGCTTACAGAGTACTGTTAATCGGTGTCCAACCGACCGATCGACCGGTTGTTCGTTCGTTCGTTCGTTCGTTCGTTCGTTCTCGATGGCGTAGGATGATCGATCGTTCGCCAGCCAATGCGTTTCCGTTGGAAATTCGTGGCGACGATACGCGCTGTTGCCTGGTATGTTTCAGTGGATCTCCGTTATCGAATGCCTCGAAGAAATCTAAGGACGTATCGGGCCGTCATCAATGTACGGTTGAACGGATCGACGATTACGCGGTAGTCGTCGCTTGTTAATTAACGTCAGCGAGCGTCCACGATTCGAGTTTTATTGGTCTCTGACGCTGTAAAGGTTGTCGAACGGCGTCGAAAGCGAAAGAAAAGAAAGCGGCACGAATCGAAGGCGAAATAGGAACGTAGATGGAATTTCATTTGGTCATTCAGGGCCAATGAAACGCATCTTTGAGAGCGAGGTTATATATCGTTTAATTACGGATCAGCTGTTTCAGGCCGAGCGTGACGGCCGCTCGCGCCTGTGTGCGCGCGTGTCCCGATCGATTTATTTCGAGTATATATCGAGAGGTTCGCAACGAAGCGATCCCATCTCGGTACCGAAGATAGAATTGCCGTGGAAGGCAGCAATAAACGCGATCCACTCACGTACAACGAGTACTATTCATAAGTCGGATGGGAGAGCTCTAAGGGCCGTAAGTCCGCGCTCCGAGCGTGGCGCCTTCGACCACCTCGTAATTCTCGTCCGGAGACTTTTCTTTTTCACGGAGGCTTACAATTAAGCTCATTATGTACGCACATGTTCGCCGCGTTTCCGCTGATTTGCGCGCGTCACGCGACGCTCTGAATGCACCAGTCGTCGTCTCGTTCAATGTATCTCCGATCCCATTCTGCCGCTTTTTTTTTTTTTTTTTTTTTTTTATATCGAATTCAATTGCTTATTATATCGTTCATTACGTTTCCTTACGGGGTGAGAAAGCGAGAATTAATCCAATTCCACGTGTTTCTTTTTTTTTTATTTTTCTTTCTTGGACTTCGTTTATCGAAACATTCCGTGCTATCCGCGTAGCAATTTCGATAAAAAAACATCGAAGACTAATTGTCGCCGTGATACCACTTAGCAATTGATTATCGAGTTTTCGTTAAGTCAATTTCCATGTCGTTATCCGGATGTTATTAAAAGGGTCGTCGTGCTCCGGCACGATTCGTTTTCGAAGCGTGGTCCGGCATCGATCGAAACGAATGGACTGATCGGGGAGAGTCTTACCTTAACTGTAACTTTCTTTTCTTTCGATAAGAGACGCTCGGTTTATTTCGGACGGTGCGGGAAAAGATTTTTACCGAGCCGATAATTCTTATATATATATATATATATATGTATATATGTAAAAAATTTTAAAGCTTCCGTTAAAGAAATGTCGGGGATAGATAGACTCGACAGGGCGAAGAAAACCGTTATGGAACACGTGTGTCCATAATGAACGTTTATGCGTAACTTCCGGAAACGTTAAGAATAACGTTTAAGATTATGTTGTTAAAGTGGTTTTTGCAATGGTGACGATCGTAAAGCGTGATTAGTCTCACTATGAAAAGTCTCAATTGGATCGTGCTTTAATTTCATTGTTCGAATTTCTTCGATCATGGGTACGCTGTCGGTCTTTACGAGCGGTCAGAGGTGTGATGGCGCGAAATGAAAATGAAATCGAAGAACGAGGCAAACCGACAACGTCTATAAGCGAGCATACGAGCCGTAAAACCACCAAGATCGTAAAATCATCAAACAATAGATTACACGGCAGTTATGAAGCGGTTGGCAAACAATTTCAACCGTTACCCACTTTTCTTTGACGATTCGTGAAAAATCGAATCTATACGGTTTCCCAGCTTATATAATAGCCTTACGCGCGCCATTGTTTAAAGAAATTTCTTTATAAAGACTTCGGTTCCATTTCCAAAACCTTTCACTACTTCTCTTATGCGTGAATTTTATAACTTGGAATTTTATAACTCGAAGGAATGAAAAGACCTGTTCGAAATTAATCTTAGAAACGGCGATCGTCGATTCACGCGAGCGGTTTCTGCTTTTCTGCCACTAACAACCGCGTTA